TGCATAAAAAGCACTGGACGGCCTCATCGTACGGCCCTAATTACCTTTGTTTCCCTTTAATTTATCGAACACCTGAGCTGAGACAATGTGGAGAGCATAAAAGGAGAGCGAAGGCAGGTGCAAAGAGACAAAGATGGGATACTGTATACAATAAGGCAGATAATTATAGCCCATGAGTAAGCAATATTAATCAGAGGTGACAGATGAAGTGCATAAACACAGTATTACAAAGCAGAACAAAATGGCTGGCGCTGTCTAGGAAAAAAGCGCACGCTTCCTTCCGCTGTGAAGCATGTGATTTATTTCAAAGCAAGTGACAGGTAAGGTTTTTAAAGAGGAGTAATATACATATAGAGGTATGTATAATTATCCACCTGGATACAGTTATTATCTCTGACTTTTGTCTTTTCCCCTCACATCTGTTTTTCAGGCTCTTTTGCCAGCCGGCTGCTCCTGACGCTGAGCCTTGTTGTTGTCTTTTCAAATACCTCTTGTCGCGCAGCTGACAAACGGCTAAGATAAGATGACAATTCCCTTGGCGCTTTTATAAATAAACGCCAAACTATCAGACGGGTAGATAGAGCAGGGTTTTACTGCTTGCCTGAGCCTGTATAGGGATTTTTTATCGTGTATATGTCTATATATCTGTCTGACATAGGCTACTTCACAGACAATCCTTTGGATGTTTTTTTCCCTATCATGGCCACTTTACCCTCTATACTCCCCTCTGGTCATGCTTCTTGTCATAGAGAGTTAATATATCTTTGTGCCCTTTTCATAGATACATGCACATGTACAGACCACACACATGCCCACGCCACCACGCTTACAGACTGGCACCGGCCTTCATCCGCTTCACCGTGCTTCTCCAGCAGCGTAGCTCCCCACCTACATCTCTTCATGGAAAAGGTCACGGTGGCCACATGACCTGCTATTTGAAGAGGACCTGCTAGATACCCAAAGCTGGCCAAGCACAATCCAATTACACCCCAGGGAGATACGCCACATTTGCTGAACTCCGCTTGAGTGATATTCGGTTTCTCTTCGGGCACTTGTAAAGATCCACTTACATGTTTATGATCAGCTGGGAACTAGAATCAACAGATGTCTGACAAGTTTCATACTTCTGCTGCCTTTAGATTGTTACATCCGGGGGAGAGACAGCTCCGCTTTCATGTGAACTACGATTTCGAGTAAGAGACTGTTTCACCTTGCGGAGGAACAAATAAAAAGAGGGATGTTCTGTGCTCAGCCATTTGTCAAAAGGCAAGAGGTTGGCTAGTGGACCTCCAAGTTTGGTGTGGGGAGATTCAACTTAAGTAAATACACTTTAGCTGGAGGGCAACTGACATCAAAGAGGTGAAAGGTCAATCTTCGTTGGGTGAATCGGTCAGCTACAAAGCATTCCATGTAGTCATACATTCACCTTTTCTCTCTGCAGTGAGCTGCCTACCAAGTGCTAGAAAATCCAGGCGAAAGATCCCCATCATGTCCCAGAGCCAAAGGTTACGTGTAACAAAGAGAGTATTTTGTCTCATAAACTGTCTATAAGTCCAAACATGGTCCTTTCTCAGTAACAGAAGACCAGAAGACTTTATTCAGTTAATAACCTTAATTACTAACAGATAATCAGTGTTGCAAATCACTAAAATGTGCTCATTGTGCTTACATGTGGTTTTCACATAGGTTTGCACACAAATAACTGCCTCTACTTACTACTTCAGTAAATAACATGCCATTTGTCAGTATAAAGAACATTTTTTGCATTGTCTAAATGCTCAAAAATAGCAATTAATAAAGATTTAGTAATGTTTCCGGAAAATTTCACAGTCACTGGATTCCAACTTCTATTTATTTTCCCAGCAATCAGGTATCCGACTGATCAATAAATCAGCGAATCGTTTATAAACTGATGGGATTAATTTGAGGTGAACTGGGTTGTTTCTTCAGTGTGTCCCCTTTGTCATGGACCGTCTCCTTCTTGATAGCACATCTGGAATTAATCACTTGAACTCGGGGTTTTCTGAGTACACTCCACATCGCTGCCACGGTTAAGACTACAGGAAAAACACGCTAGGCCGATCTATTAAAAGCATCTCAGAGTCAAGCTTAGGAAAACCCGCTCCAGGTGTCTTGTCCATACAAGGTCTGGAAACCGGACCTTGTTCAAACTCTTATCTTTTGACATTCACCAATAAGGCGACGGCGTGTCACCTCGGCAGCATCGGCGAAGTGAAGTGCCACAGTACGCGAAAGCATCCAGAACACCTGATAATGTCGCTTATCAGAGCGGCTCGTGAGATTAGATGCTGCCAGGCCCCCGAAACCTGCATACCTTGCCTGCAACAAGACCATGTTTGGTGAGCGGCGGTCCGCAGAAGATAAACATTAAGCATCATCGAGCTTTCGTGTACACAGACGACGGCACGCGGGGTTGAGCAATGAAGCGGGCATGAGGAGCCGAGCTCGCTGCGGTGCTTTACCGGTGCAAATCAGTGATCCATTGAGTCACATACTACACTGCCCAAGAGGAGGGGCGGAGAGCTGCTGCTGCTCAGCATGTGAGAGTCATACCAGCAAGGCTGTTAAACTTTGGCTCTCTTGAGGTTATAGTTTATGGTTACCTCTGTGGTGCTGTTGCTGGCATTTTTATGCTTTCTGCATCAGGTGAAGACCAGACTTTCATGCAAACCCCCCCAAGACAAGTCAAACTAAGTCAAAGCGTGAATTAGTCTGAGTACATCTGCACGGGCCTGCAAAAAGCTTGAATATGTATCTGCGCGTGTGACACACTCCCTGCTCCTCTGCATGCAACACACACCGTTCCACAAAAGATAAAGTGGTGCTGTCTGACCTTAACGTTAATTCACCCAAGTAAATGTAAGTCCCTGCCGGTCTGGATGGCTTCCAAACATTTCCAAAACCATTAGATCTCTCTGGCCATTAGTCTCCTTTTTACGTCTTTCTCTGCCTGCCTTTTACACAACCTGCACCTCATCTCTGAGCTTATGGACATCACAGAATCTTTAATAGCTGGGTAAAAGTTTGGAGCCTTGTGTCTTTGGCGAACTACAGCTGCAGCTAACACAGCTTATTTCCTCGTAGACCTATCCTGCAGTTGAGATCTTTGAATAATCTTGACGCCCTCATTTAAATGTTCAGTCTTACAAAATGATCCGTAAGCGGCGTGACTGTAACCGAGTGTCACGAAAGCAAAAAGAAAAGAAGCAAATCCTCACATTTTGAAAGCTTTCGTGCTTTAATATGATCAGTCGCTCATGAGAATGAGCAACTAAACATTTCAGCTACAAAAAGCTTGTGTCGATAGTAACAGATCAAGTGTTTTTCTTGTGTTTTGCCCTATTTTGGTTTAATTATAGCTGTGTTGTGCTCAACTTAATTCAAAACAGGCAGGTGCTTAAGAAGGTGCTTTAGACAAAAAACTCAAGTATTTCTCTGGCGTCAGCTTCTGAAATGTGAGTATTTGCCACTTATGAGACTTTTAATTGGACATATTTGCAGTTTGTACAGTTAGATGGTCATACACAGACATCTTTTGGTGCTGAGTAGTCATCTTTCTTTTGTTGAATATGCTCATTTTACACAGAGTAGTAGTTTTTTATTAGATTCAATAACAAGAATACCCTCAGGGCCGTGTACTGGTTACAGAGCTCTACTTGACTGACGCGTTGTTGGTAAAAGGAGAAGGTGACAAAAGCTTTAAACTCAAACTCCCTAACCTCAAGAAATCAGCTCTTTGGTCTTTACCTCATCTGTGTGGTGCTACAGCAGTTCCCCCGCATCCATAGCAACCTCGACAGTGGACCAAATATGGTATTACATCAGGCTGGCTACATCTCACTATTCAGTTACAAAGTGTCTAACGCTACGCTGAGACCTAATCAAATTGCTCCAAGAGAAATATCTGATATAATCTGATACACCTTCCTTACATCACTCGACTGCGGATGTGCAGAGCTCTGAAATAACAAGTCTGTCATTTGAAGAGAGATTCATCTGAGCCAAAGAAAATCGCCTCATGCAAGGAGAGCCGCTACAGGCTTATTTACCAAAGAGGAGATATTGTTGGGCCGGATTGTGCAATGTTTACAGAGGAGAAAGGGAAGAAATGAGGCTATTATCCTGCACGATAGAGAGGAAACATACTTTGAGAGCACGTTTAACGGATTTCCACCAAATGTTGGTTTGTTTGTTTTTTGGGTTTTTTTGTTTTTTTGGGGGGGGGGTAAACAAAGCCATTCTGTTTGTGTTTAGATGTAATTAGAAGAGGCTATTCTTGCTCCACTGTAATGCAGTGGGCTCTCTGTTACAACTGCTATTACCTACATGTTGCAGCGGCAGTTGTTTCAACTTCAATTGCTCCCTCAGCTTCAGTGAAAACTAATTCGCCCTGGCTCGGAATTCCCTTTACTACTGCTTTCCAGTGCTGTGTGAAGTCTGGCTTTATTGTACAGTAAGACACAGCTAGCAATGCCGTAGCACAGCCAGGAGAAACACAATCCTGACTTCAAAGTTATTCGAGACTTGCTAGTTAGTGATTCATCAGTGCTTCGTGCCCTTCCCTGTTCTTGCTGCTGTTTTTAAAATAAAAAAAATGACGGCTAACTTCAACAAGGCTACAAAACAATTGAAAGAAAAGTAGAGGAGAGACGTAAAAGTGAAGACAGGTGAAGAATTCAGTGCAATAACAGCGCATTACCTGCAGGAAACCGGTGATAGATGCTGTTATGAGCGAACCATACAGTCGGTCTAATAATGTAAACAGCAACACTGGAAACTTTTATGAGGTAAAACCAGATTACGACACAGAAAACAAACAAACCAGCATAAGAGCTACACCTTAATGAATACAGGAGTGGAGGAAAAGAAGCAGTCGCTGTTAGCATGACTCGGTTTTTATTAAGGATGTCATTACGGGTCAAGGAGCCACCCACAGTATCACAGACAGACGCTCGAGCACCTCGGGCTCGCATACGTACCTCCTCCTCGTGGTTGGTGAATTCACTCGGCTCGTTTTCTTTCTCGGGTTTGTTGTTATTCATTCTGAGCGGGACTCTTTCTCACTTTCACTCGGACGGCTCTTCTTTTCTTTCCTTGTTTCCCCTCCTCCTCTTCTCTCTCTCTGAATCTGCTTCGCGCTGCGCTTCTTCTCCAGGACCCACAAATTCAAAGCACCCCTCCGACAGTCCGCGCGCGAGCCCGCTGTCCCCCTACTGACCCGAACTTCCCACTAATTTGGCCACATCAATGATGACGGATAAACCTCATTAATTTTTATATATATATATGTACATATATATAATTACAATAATTCGCTGCGGCTGATGTTGCTGTTGAGTTGGATATTCCTCGGCATTCTCTGGAAAGCCTGACTTTTCGTCTTTTTTTAATTAGTATTATTTTTCCAGAGCCTCTTGCTGTTGCTGTCCCCCAAATGAAATACAGTAATGTTCACCGGACCGCGCCGCGAGCAAACTTCTCTACCCATCTCCTGCGTGCGGCAGGGGAGGGGAGGAAGAGAGGGAGGCGGAGAGCGGAGGGGAGGGAGGGGTTTGGGCTTGGGTGGGTGGGATGCACCCTCTGCTCGGCTTTATCAAGATTTATCAAGTGCTGCAGGAGCTTCAGTGGAAAATCAGTACCAATCACCCTTTGGACAACATGAATGTTATATCTGTCAGCACAGCACATATTCTTATATGTCGTGGTTTTAATCTTTGTTTTGTTTTTCATCAGCTGCTCTGGGCCTTTATTACACGTGCATGTTCTTGTAGTGTGTGTTTCTTATATATTTACTCAATGTCAGAGGTGTCAAACTCATTTTACATTGTGGGCCACGTACAGCTAACTTTGATCTAAAACTCCTCTTCCTGTCAGCCTATAGAAGTTTAACCACACATTTAACCCCATTTTTGTTTTAATAAAAGAAAAAGAAATATGTGCAAAAAATAAAAATTACACAAAAGGTTCTGTTAGCTGCGCAAGAAATGTGGTTATGTTTGTATTTATTTATTTGTTTGTTTGTTTGTTTTTACTGTGAAAAAACATAGGAACTTGAACCAGATTGGAGTCTTTGGTGGATCTATTCTGGCCCCAGGGCTTTATGTTTGACACATCTGCTCTATGTTTAAGTTGTGATATTTTATATGAAACCAATTAAGCATAAAGCCTGGAAAAAGTAGAACTATCCCCTTCAAATGAATCTAAATTGAAAAACCGATTTTTCTCACATTGTGTATAAAGAATATTTTTTTCAAAAGTCTTTCTTTTTGTTTGGTAATGTCCAGACCTTTATTAGACCTCTTGAGAACATTCATAAACAAAGTATGGACACAGTTAAAAACACACTCAAAGTATCTGGGGAAATCACAGACTGTATATAAAAGATGGCCCCAAACACTGTGACATCACACTTTGGTTCGTGGGCTTTTGTTATGAACCATAATCCCCCACTGCAAAACATGAACAAGGTTTACAAAATAGACTTAATTTATTATTCAATATGAAGTGAAACGGGTGACTTAGCCTATAAACTCAGAGGTCAGAGCAGAAAGCTGTTTTCTGATAAACGTGTGTATGACAGGAAGTCTTTTTGCAACTACAGCTATCACCACCTGGTTTCTTTCGATAGAAAGCAGATTTAAGGCACTTTCTGCACTGGCTTTATTTGTCACAGACAGAAGCTACATTCATGTTTATGGGTGCAGCCACAGGTTGTAAGGGATTAATCACATAGACACAGGTACTTGTTAATTAGTCCAAAAATAACATACAAAAGGCTGTACAATTAATATAATCCACACTATCACTGGACAAATGTATAAAAAATGCTCCAAAGGCTCCAAACACTACAAACATGGACAAAAGGTCAAAAGGAGTTCATGGAGCCTGGCTGACACCTAGCAGCCGAGTCAACCACACACTTAACTTTAAGCTTCAAAACAATGTAAACTGATCAAATGTATTTAAAAATTCAGCCTCTGTACAGTTGTTATGTAGGGAAAATATGTTGTTTTTAACCATGTGTTTAGTTTTGTAGTAAACTTGGGCCATTTGACTAGAAGTCTGCGGGACTGACTCACGTTTGAAATCAGCCTCAAGTGGACATTTGAGGAACTGCATTTTATGACTTTAAAATTTGACTTCAAAGTTGCTGTTGGGGATTAAATTCAGTTGAAATGATTCAGCACTCAGCAGTACTACTGCATGCATGTTTATTGTTTTTTCTCCCCCCCCACACACACACACACATACACATATACACACATCTCTACAAGTGAGATGTTCTAGTCACTCACGGTGACCAACACTTTTAAGTCTCACTCACATTCGCACCTACAGGTGCTTTTAGGACTGCAAGATGAAAACTCCTCATATAAAAATGAATCACCAAGGCTTAAAGCTAAAACTTTATTGCAGCGGGGAAACAGCACAAATCAGCACACTGCTGTGCCACTGAAAGTATACACGAGGCATGTGAGATTGTGAGACAGTCTTTTATACTGAGTCTTTATATATTGGTACTCGACACATGAGCAGCCTTGTATAACCGTTAAACAGCCTACCCTGATCAGTAAGCAGCTACGACTCGTAGTATATTTTTCAAATGTGTCTTCATGTTGCCATATAGTTTTATGCACCACAGTTTTAAAGTCACTGATTTTACTGTATGTCTATAACCTGTTGACTTATTAACCAAGTTGCACTGCAAACATGGTGAGCATAAGATGACTTGTCACCCAGAAAGGCATGCCCACTCAGGAGTATTTCTCCCCTCTTGAAACGCAGAAGTCAGCAAAATCCATCGTCTGCAAAGCAGGAGTTACAGACAATTATCAACCTGACTGCTTAATAAATTTCACGTGGCTCTCAGTTCATCAGTTCAAGGCCTCGGAGGGCTTCTGCCGTTTCAGCCGAACGGTTCTTCTCAGAGTTAGAGCCCGTCTCCGTGTGGATTTACAGTGAGCAGGTTGAAAACAAAAGAGGAACTGGAGATAACTCCTGTAAAGTGCTCAAGATTGGGGCGTGATTAGTTGCGCCACTTCACGGTGAGCTCACTTATAACCTCAGGGTAAAAAAAACCAACAACAACAAAACAGCTAAACCCTGGAGGTGTGGAAATAATGTTGCGACAACAACAACAGGAGAAATACTAAAAGTTAAAATATTAAAAATGTCACTGGTGTTGCCTGCTGTTGTCTACGGTGAGGGCTGCAGAACAGCCTTAAAAGCGGCGATCAGGTGACAAGGCAGCCTCGAATTGTTTTTACCGTTTCAAAACATTTATTTTGAGCAACTGCCTCACTTTGTATTCCGCCGTGAAAAGTTCAGGAGCTGACAGCAGCTCCGTCGTGGGGACTTTGACTATATGTTGCGTGACACTTATTGCACAGGACAGGAGCTCGCTTTTTTATGACAGCCTGCGCAGAAAAGAGAGAGAGTCTGTCTTTTTTTGCTGAACTTGCACCTCAAAGGCAACAAAAGAAGGAAAAAGCAGTCGTCGTGGATGGGTCGTACAGATTTCTGCTCTTTCCCCTCCCTGGTCACGTCTGTATCAATTACGCCGCGTCTGAAGCGTGCGCGCCGAAGAAGGGACACGGCAGAGTCTTTTTATGCTGATGAGAAGCGGCTGATGGGAGAGGGAGGAGGGTCTCGGAGCCTTCGAAGCAGATAAAAATGGAAATGTTCCCCTTTGCTTCTCGACACCCCTGTATCAAAGCTTCCAGCCCGAGTCTGGGGAGCAAGGAGGGGGAGGAGAGGTAGGAAGGCGGAGGAGAGGATGGGATAGGAGTTGAGGCGGGGTGACGGAGAGAGCGGGGTGGGGGAGATGTCCCAGCTGTGTTTGACAGGTCTCTGGGCTGAGCTGTGTGGTCTGATGCTCGGAGAGCACCATAAAAGCACACACACACACACACACACACACATATATATACAGACAGACAGACAGACACGCTGAGGGTGTGTGTGTGTGGGGGGGGGGGGGGGGGGGGGGTGAAAGAGGAGCCGGCAGGAGACAGACTGGTCACGGTGTCCTGGGTAACATGTCAGCAAGCTTTGACATGGTCCAGCCCAACATGAAGATATCTCTGTGTTATCTAAGGGGCTGCTGGGTTAGCAAAAAGCAACAATGTCAGGCAGGCTGCTCAGAGAAGCTTTGTTTCTTTAAGAGTTGATAAAAACAGAAATAGCGTGCATATTAATCTTGTTAAAGAGTCGGGGGAAGAAGGTTAGAACTAATACTTGAAAGCTACAATCAATCGGGAGCCAGTAAGGTCGGATCAGCATAAACATAATCTAACCCAGCTCTGTTTGACTCAGTTCTTACCTTAATATATTATATTTCACCACCTTCCCTGAAGTTCTTTTAAATGAGCCCTGCTGGGGAATTTCCTCAGAATCAGGTCTCAACAATGTCCGAAGACTTCTCGGCTCACATGTAAAACACAACAGGAGACTACTGAAAACACTCAAGTTTGGTTTAACTGTCTGTAGGAGAGGGCTTCAGGAATCAGACTTCACACAGATTTTGTGCTAGGGATCTGGCAACACAATGTGTGTCATTTGTGCCTTCATATACATGCATCTCCTCTGGGAAATGTCTGGGAAAGCTGAGGCCAGGGATACATGTGTGAAAACAGCTGGCGGCTCTTGTGGAAGTGAAAATGGAAAGGCATTTTTCTTGCACTTTCCCAGTCTTACCAACCACTTGAAAGCGCTTGACTACACCTTTCAGCCCGTAATTGTTTCATTCTTATTTTATTATTCCAAACAAAAAGTGAAAGTAAGAAATTTGTTGCTGCACTGCTGCCAGATCATTAGCACGTAATAGCCCAATATGTAACTCTTATAACATAAAGTAAATGGCCTGTATTTGTATAGCGCTTTACTAAAGATCCCAAAGCGCTTTACACAACCAGTCATCCACCCATTCACGCACACATTCACACACTGGTGATGGCAAGCTACATTGTAGCCACAGCCACCCTGGGGCGCACTGACAGAGGCGAGGCTGCCGGACACTGGCGCCAGCGGGCCCTCTGACCACCACCAGTAGGCAACGGGTGAAGTGTCTTGCCCAAGGACACAACGACCGAGACTGTTCAAGCCGGGACTCGAGCCGGCAACCTTCCGATTACAAGGCGAACTCCCAACTCTTGAGCCACGATCGCCCCATAAAGTGTAATTTTGACACTCTTTTTTTGTTAAACAGATCAAGCACACGAGCCTTTGCATAATAATTATTTGTCTTTAGAGATGACTCAGCAGTTATCTTTTCTCTGAGCCAGACCAGCTGTTTCCTTACTGTTTCCACACTTTATGCAAGGCTACAAGCTGAAACTGAAGCTTAAAAATTTTCCCAGTATCCTACCATTGTTTCCCAATATGTCAAAGCACTGCTTCAAGAACCAGAGAACTTTTCTGTAACAAGCTATTCAACAACCAAAAGCAGGAGTATTGAGACACAGATTATCTAGTACCT